CTATGCTAAAGCCTTTGACTGTGTGGATCACAACAAACTGTGGAAAATTCTTCAAAAGATGAGAATACCAAAAAAAAAAAAAAAACCCAGACCACCTGACCTGCCTCCTGAGAAATCTGTATGTAGGTCAAGAAGCAACAGTTAGAACTGCACATGAAACAACAGACTAGTTCCAAATTGGGAAAGGAGTAAGTCAAGGCTGTACATTGTTACCCTGCTTATTTAACTTATATGCAGAGTACATCATGAGAAATGCTGGGCTGGATGGAGCATAAGCTGGAATCAAGATTGCCGGGATAAATATCAACAGCTTCAGATACGCAGATGACACGACCCTAATGGCACAAAGCGAAGAGGAACTGAAGAGCCTCTTGATGAAAGAAAAAGATGTATCCAAGATGATGAAGGTGAAAGAGGAGAGTGCAAATGCTGACTTAAAAATCAACATTCAAATTATTAAGATCATGGCTTCTGGTCACATCACTTCATGGCAAATAGATGGGGGTAAAAATGAAAACGGTACAGACTATTTTCTTGGGCTCCAAAATCACTGCCGATGGTGACTGCAGCCATGAAATTAAAAGATGCTTGCCCCTTGGAAGAAAAGTTATGACAAACCAAGACAGCATATTAAAAAGCAGAGACATCACTTTGCTGACAAAGGTCCGTTAAGTCAAAGTATGGTTTTTCCAGTAGTCATGTATGGATATGAGAGTTGAACTATAAAGAAAGCTGAGTGCCAAAGAATTGATGCTTTTGAACTGTGGTGCTGGAGAAGACTCTTGAGAGTCCCTTCGACTGCAAGGAGATCAAACCAGTTGATTCTAAACGAAATCAACCCTGAATATTCTTTGGAAGGACTGATGCTGAGGCTGAAGCTCCAATACTTTGGCTACCTGGTGTGAAGAACTTACTCATTGGAAAAGACCCTGATGCTGGGAAAGATGGAAGGCAAAGAAGGGGATAACAGAGGATAAGATGGTTGAATGGCATCACTGACTCACTGGACATAAATTTGAGCAAACTCTGGGATATGGTGAAGGACAGGGAAGCCTGGTGTCTGTAGTCCATGGGGTTGCAAAGAGTTGGACATGACTTAGTGACTGAAAAATAATGAACATCAACAGGGACATTGTCCAATATCTAAGAACTTTAAGAGGCAGTCCTTTTTTGGCAAGGTACTTCCTGACTTTAGGAACAACACATTAATTAATGTAACTAATTCAGAAACCTGGAACCTGTCCAGGCTTTCTTTTACAGCCAGAAGATTGGCAGCTGGTGATTATCTTTTTCCCTTCAAGGCTAGGGTCTTAGCAGCTTTGTAGATAATGCAGTTCTGATCATAACCTAACTGCATTTGCACAAAAAGAGTTAGCATTTCCTCTCCTGCCTTGAATCCTGGTGCTTACTTCTCCTCCTTAGAAAAAGTATCCTTTGTGGCATTTTCCCCCAGAGTAGGGCACTTTCATCAGCATTAAAAACCTGTTCAGGAAGATATTCTTTACCCTCAATGATTTTCTTAATGGTGTCTGGGAACATATCTTCTACCTTTTGGTCAGCAGAAGCTATTTCTGTTATCTTGGTTTACACCAAATCTCTTTAGAAAATTATCAAACCATCCTTTGCTGGCATTAAATTCTCCAGCTTTAGATCTTCACCTTCCTTTTACTTAAAGTTCTCATATAATGACTTCTTTTTTTTAATTTGTGTGTGTGTGTGTGTGTGTGCGCGCACGCATGCACGCGCGCATGCTCAATCATGTCTAACTCTGTGCTACCCATGGAATATGGAGCCTACCATACTCTTCTGTCCAGAAATTTCCCAGGCAAGAATACTGGAGTGGGTTGCCATTTCCTATTCCAGGGGATTTCCCAACCCAGGAATTGAACCCACATCTCTTGCATTGGCAGGCATATTCTTTACCGCTAGCGGCATCTGGTAAGCTCTTTTGAATCATATTAGAGTCTATAGGTATGCCTTTCTTTTTTTTCCCTCCAAACTCATCAAATTATGCTGTATCCTTTACTTTTGACTGTGCTTGTCTTTGTTTCTGCATTTCTCTAGTTGTAGCCAGTGGGGCTACTCTCTAGTTGAAGTGTGCAGGCTTCTCATTGCAGTGGTTTCTCTTGTTGCCTAGCACGGGCTCTAGAGTACATGGGTGTCAGTAGTTGCGGCATATGGGCTTAGTTGATCCCTGGCAAGTGGAATCTTCTTGGACCAGGGATTGAAACTATGTCCCCTGCAATGGCAGGCAGATTCTTAACCCACTGAACCACCAGGGAAGTCCAAGTATGCCTTTCTCATAGCAATCCTGCATCCACATGAAAGCTTCATTTTCAACATGAGATAAGAAAGTGTTTTGCCAATGGTGCAAGGTTTTCACATCTGCTTGTAACTATAGCTTTTTGAATTTCCTCTTCTTTTTTCACAGTGGTCCTTATGCTAGATTCATTTATTCTGAAATCGTGGGGAACTGCAGCTTCAGACCTCCATTTATGGTGCATATAAAGCACTTCACCTTTTTCTTGTAATATCAGGACTTTTCTGTCCTTCTTGGGAGCAAACCCAGCATCACTAGTGACACTTCATATGGGTTCCATGTTGTTACTCAAGGCTTACAGTATTGCACTAAACACAGTGAAAAATATACAAGAACTGCTAGAGATCACTTGTTACCATCACATGCAGTTTATTGCAGAGACAAATCGCTCCTTCAGATGCTTGGCGTTACCTTACATTTTAAGTGGACACTCACAATGCTTGTTGGTTTTCAGTCACTCAGTCATGTCCAACTCTGCGACTCCATTGACTGCATCACACCAGGTTTCCCTGTCCTTCACCATCTCTAGGAGCTTGCGCAAACTCATGTCCATTGAGTTGGTGATGCCATCCAACCATCTCGTCCTCTGTTGTCCCCTCCTCCTCTACCTTCAATCTTTCCCAACATCAGGGTCTTTTCCAATGAGTTGGCTCTTCACATCAGGTGACCAGAGTATTGGAGCTTTAGCCTCAGTCTCAGTCCTTCCAGTGAATATTCAGGGTTGTTTTCCTTTAGAATTCACTGGCCTGATCTCCGTGCTGTTCAAGGGACTCTTCAAGTGTCTTCTCCAGCACCACAATTCAAAAGCATCAATTCTTCAGCACTGAGCCTTCTTTATGGTCTGACTCTCACATCCATACATGACTACTAGAAAAGTCATAGCTGTGACTATATGGACCTTTGAAGGCAAAGTAATGTCTCTGCTTTTTAATGTCTCTAGGTGTGTCACAACACTTGAGTTCACAGCAAAAGCAACAGAAGGTAGTTATGAATTTAGTAGTATAGTATGTCCTACAGTTAGTTTTGAGCAGTTATCATTTAATACTGCATCTTTGTTTACATTTCTCTTGACTTTGAATGGATCACAAATGGTCTGTAAGTGTCTGTGTGCATAAGTTCAATAAATTTTAACATTTTATAATAGATTTGTGTGTAGTCTTGGGAAAGATTAAGGGCAGGAGGAGAAGGGGGTGACAGAGGATAAGATCATTGGATGACAACAGTGACTCAATGGACATGAGTTTGAGCAAACTCTAGGAGATGGTGAAAGACAGGGAAACCTGGTGTGATGCAGTCCATGGGGTTTTAAAGAGTCAGACATGACTTAGCAACTGAACAACAATGAAGTGATAACATATACTAATAACTACATATATTTTATGCATTCATGACATACCTGACTTTTTCTATATTTCTAGGCTGTGTGGGTCATATGGAAGTTTTTTCAAATTGTCAAAAATCTCCAAAAAATTTTCCAATATATTTATTGAAAAAATATCTGTATATAAGTGGATCCATGCAGTTCAAACCTATGTCATTCAAAGGTTAACTCTACTTTTAGACCACTGCTGCTTTCTGTTGATTCAGTAGTTTGGGTTATCATAGAGCTGTTATATATATATATATTTGCCATCAGATTTATTTTCAAGAAACTCAGAGCCTCTATTACAGCCATGGTAGTTGGATGTGGTTCCAAATTTTACTCATAATTAGCATATTTTTAATAATTTTTAACAGTTGACTTAGTGTTTCTTTTGTCACTTATCTATGTTTTTGTGGGAAAATAGTGTAAAAATTATTAAATGATGAAAAAGTAATTAAAGTGTGGTTTTAAAATCACAGAGATCACATTTTTTGATACTTTTAAGCTAAAAACATCCCATGTCTGAAAATGGAACCAATGAACAAAACCTTATGCCATGTATAATTCTGTCAGGATTTTTGATGATTAAAAGTAAAATAAATAAATAAATATATATATATAAAATGCATGTTGAAATAGAAACACATTCTTTCACAAGGAACCAAATGTGAAAATCTTGATGTGCTTGGCTTCAAAGTCAAGCTCTGTTCACTTGAAAACAATTGCCAATTAATACCCCTCATTTCCCCCATAACAATAAAATATACTAAATGCTTCAGTCATGAACTGCACAGGACATTTTTATTGCCCTAGGCCATCATTTAAAACAGCAGATTAGCTTATGGGGAAGAACAGAAGTTGGGGGATTTGCTTGCATACACACATCACAGAACCTTTTAAAAACTCAAAAACATTTTTTAAGTCTCCAAAACTTTTGATTAAAATGGATACACCCAGAATGTTTCATGTTTGTTTAGTGGGAAACTTATTCATGGAGTATCATAGGTGCACCCTGGTTTGTACTTTCTCAAACTGTCCTAGCATGGCCATAGAGAAGATTGTTCCTGACTGATCTGGTAGTGGGAAAAATACAAATGTAAGAAATGACACTACTTTGTTTTGTTTTGTTTTTTAAGACTTCACTTTTCAGAGCAATTTTAGATTCACAGCTAAATTAAAAGGAAGGTAGAGATACTTTCTTATTCCCACATATGTATAACCTCCTCCATTATAAATATCCACCACCAGAGCAGTACAGTTGTTATAGTTGCTGAACATATATTGACATATCATTGTCAGACACTGGTGTTATTTCAGGCACTGTTGGAAAAGAAGAATAAGGATTTCAAAGCAAAGAAGCCTATGCGTTTTCTTCAAAGAAAGCCAGTACCTCAACCTCGACTTCCAACTCCAACCCTGGAGATGAGTTCCAATGTAAGTTTGAGGCTTTTTTTATTTGAAAAGCTAAATTCAGCTTCACTATCTGTTTATTCTCCAGATAGTTTGGGTTAAAAACAAACCTAACATAACCATGTTCATTTCCCCAGATCTGAATTACATTTCCTTTATCCTTTATTTCAAATGCACACAGAAAAAAAAGCAAATTGAAATCTAAATTCAATCCTTTTCAAGAATAAAAACACAAAGAATGAAATCTTCCCAAGAAAAATAGGCATCAGAAGGTAATCCTGATGTATGTCAAATAAGAAGATGGAATGATGATCAGATACTGTAACTGTATTCCCACATGAAGTGGTTGATGATAGCTGGAATTAGCAAGGAATCATCAAGACAGGCCAGCTTCTGGGTTAAGATTGACCAGAGAGCTCACTCTGACTCCAGGGCTATGCCTTACCTTCTCAGGGCCCCGCACTCAGTTTGGTCAGCATTTCCAGAGTTGGTTAGGATTTAAAGGACTGATGCAGAAAACTCACAAGAAACTGCTGGAGATGCCACAGATTTGCAAATTTGTTATGTATAGTTAAAGCTATGGTTTTTCTAGTAGTCATGTACAGATATGAGAGTTAGACCATAAAGAAGGTTGACCACTGAAGAATTGATGCTTTCGCATTATGGTGCTGGAAAAGCCTCTTGAGAGTCCCTTGGACTGCACAGAGATCAAACCTGTCTGTCCTAAAGGAAATCAACTGTGAATATTCATTGGAAGGACTGATGCTAAAGCTTAAACTCCAATACTTTGGCCACCTGATGTGAAGAGCCGTCATTGGGAAAGACCCTGATGTGGGAAAGATTGAAGCCAAAAGGAGAAGGGGGCAGCAAAAGATGAGATGGTTAGATAGCATCACCAACTCATTGGACATGAGTTTGAGCAAACTCCAGGAGATGGTGAAGGACGGGAGCCTAGCATTCTGCAGTCCATGGGGTCGCAAAGAGTTGGACACAACTTAGCAACTGAACAACAACAACATACTTTACAGAGAGAACTATAACTGCCTGGTATATCAGGATGTTGCTCTTGGGAGGTCAGTTTGTTCTTTCCCAACACAGGGCAGTTCTCACACAAAGCCAAACTGCACATAAGGTTGTGCTTTGCCAGAGCAGGGGAGTTGATGGGAGATCTCACTAGCACCTCCAGTGGCTCTGAGATCTTTGGAGGGGTGGGAATGCTTCTGCTGACTGGCCACAACGCGCTTCTGGGCAGCATCCTCTTTTCTAGACTTTGTGCTGACCACTGCCTGTAGTTAACATGTCTTTCACAAGTGTTAATGCCATTGATTCCACTATTGATATCTTTTTGCATTGAGAGGCTTTAATTAAATTTGTAGACTCTGTTCTTTTTCGCTTTTACACATACTTATTTAAGGTGATTTTTGTAGATTGCTGATTTTGTCCATTATATTCTGATTTTACCAGTTTAGCTAAATTCTTGTGAAAAGCACCTCATTTTTTAAATTTAATTTAATTTTATTTTATTTTTCCATTTATTTTTATTAGTTGGAGGCCAATTACTTTACATCATTGCAGTGGTTTTTGTCATACATTGAAATGAATTAGCCATGGATTTACATGTATTCCCCATCCCGGTCCCCCCTCCCACCTCCCTCTCCACCCGATCCCTCTGGGTCTTCCTAGTGCACCAGGCCCGAGCACTTGTCTCATGCACCCAACCTGGGCTGGAAGCACCTCATTTTTAACTCCAATATACCCCAGCTGTATTCTTTGTCTCATGTTCGTGTTCAAGCACTAAGTTGTGTCCAACCTTTGCAACCCCACGGAGTGTAGCCTACCAGGCTCCTCTGTCCATGGGATTTCCCTGGCAAGAATACTGGAGAGGGTTGCCATTTCCTTCTCCAGGGGATCTTCCCAACCCAGGGATCAAACCCTTGTCTCCTGTATCTCCTGCATTGACAGGTAGATTCGTTACCACTGAGCTGCCAGGGAAGCCTGCATTCTTTGTCTACTCATGATTAAACATGAAAAAAAAAAACTATTGCAAAAGGGATGTTATTAGCAATACCTACTGCTTCAAGAAAGATTTTGTTGGAAAGGAATATAGAAAAAATGAAAACAGCTTAATTTATAAGGATAGCACGGGTGAATTTTTTGCTTTTGATATAATTTACCAATGATATCATGAAAAATATAATGAATTTTGACAATACTTTAATGTCATGTTTAAAATCCTATGTTCAAAAAAGGATACTGTTTTATTTCTTGTTTTATTTCTCTTTAAGTCCTTCTGGTGTCTAGCCTTTTTGCTAGATATAAATCTTCAAAAAAGTATTTGATGGCAACTGCTGAAGTTCTCAAGCTGCTTGGTTCTCTCTTTGTTTTTTTAGGAAGAAGAAGATATAGAAATGGCAGTGATCTACCTTCAAAAGTTGCTCCGGGGCAGAGTTGTTCAAAACATGGTGTGTGGAATGGACCCCTGGCCCTGTTCTTCTCCTTTGAGACTAGACTCAGAGTGCACCCGTGCTTGTTTCCTTGGGGGTAAATTGCCTCCCACGCCCCGCTGTCCTGTGGAACTATGCTATTGAGTTACCTACTCTTTCCCTTTTACTGCCATAGCTAGCCCAAGTGAGTGGCACAATATCAAGGAAAGAAAGGACCCGCCTGCTGTTTCCTGTAGTGTAACCAAGGCAGTATGAAGCTAATGTCTTCCATGGAATTGCTGAATCCAGCAGTTTTCATATATGAATTTTGACTATTAAGCATCACAAACCAAGTGGATTCTCTAATTTTCCACAGTCATAATAATCTGAGTTTTCATATTAGCTAGCAATGCATGAATAATAAATGGAATAGCTAAATAAATAACTATAGTTTTGAACTCTTAACTGTGTATGCTCACATTATATATTCTTTACCTATATCAGCACTTTTTTTCCTATCAATTACCCATTTTACAGGTGAGTAATACGAGCCTGAGTGAGATTATGTTAACTGTTAGCAAATTCAACTCTGGTCTTCCTGACCGCAAAGCCTTAGTCAGATCATTGTGCTTCTTAAGTTTAAAAAGGGACTGATGTAAAGCCTCAGCTAAAACATTTTTTCTTCCCCAGACAGCTATAACTCTTAAGAGACTCAATTATGGTGAGTCAGTCCAGGGAGGCTGGATGAACATCTGTGTTCAGCACTATTCCCTATCCTCCTGGCATTATTTCCACAGGAGAAACGCCACAGTGAAGTTCAGACAGCAGGTCGTGTATTCCAGACCAGGAGCAGATCTCTCAGAAAAGAAAACTGACCATGAAACATACCACCCCCAGGCTTCCTAGGGGAAGGGCGCAGGAAATGAAGGGAAGGCTCCGGTTTCTTAACATGACCCTAGAGTTGTCACCTTGTCTTAGAGGCATTTTAAGAAATTCAGTCAACAGTTAACTGATAGCTGAGTTCCTTCTCTGCCTGAACAGCTGAAGGAGCAGAAAACAGGGCTAATGCCTAGCTCTGTGGCATACACCTGGTCCGTGGCCCTGAAAGGCGGAGCAGAACCCGCTGTTCATGAGCGCCTCGCCAGTCACTGCCTGCAAGGCCTCGTGCCTGCACTGGCAATGCTGATTTGCGGGTCTCTCTGGTTTGATTTGATACAGATGTTTGAAGGGAAAGAGAAGCGACTGGAGTTGATCCAGGAGCTGCGCACCAGCCACGCACTGCAAGAAGATGACAGGCTGGTGAAGAAAGCCGAGAAGCAGGTGACCCTGGCCCTGCAGCGGCAGAGGAACTTGCACGAGCACAAGGTTCTGTCCTCTCCTTTCTTGTCCCATTTTCACCCTTGATTTTTATTATTGTGCAAACAACAGTATAGTAACAACAGATGAAGTGATGTAAAAGAATGGCTGATTCATGTCAATGTATGGCAAAAACCACTACAATATTGTAAAGTAATTAGCCTCCAACTAATAAAAATAAATGAAAAGAAACACCCCCCACAATCCCAGCATTTTTCGCCAGTGGCACTACTGTCCAAAGTTTGAATGGACTGTATCCTCCCTGAGTTGAATATGCTTTTTTTTTTTCAATTTTCAAAAAGGAAAGGAAAAAAGCTTTACTATTTTAAAAGGTTTTCTTTTCCAATTTTTCTTAAATATTTCTATTTAAGAAAATATAATATTTCTATTATATTTCAGTGGAAGCTAAGTAGAATGAATAAATACTGCAAGCAATAAGAAAAAGTGAGAAATGAGATTTTAAAAACTGTCCACACTTGAGATGTATGAGTTTTGGAGCTGTACATAGCTCATGCTCCTTAAACTACATATTAAATATGTTATCATGTTATTCTGTGACTTTCATCAGGTCCTCTGAGCTCTGTGTGACTGACAATAGCTGGTGATTGCAGCTCTAACTCAACAACTGTAGATGTGTTTCCTACTTTCTGCTGGTATTTGTGTCTATATACGCAGTATTTAATGTTGACTAAAGTGGAGGTATACTTTTACTGTCTCTCCCACTTATCTGTAAATCAATGTGAAAAGAATCAATTTGCAGAGTGTTGTAAGAAAGTAGACTTACAGCAAAGTTAATATTACCCACCTTTAGTGACACACACCGCTCTCGTGCTATGAATTGGGCACAAATGGTCAGCAGCTCTGAAGCAAGCCCCCTGTACTCCCTTCATGTGACAGCAGGGCTGGGGTGCTCTCTGAGTGACGGGGGCTGGTTTGGGAGAGGGAGGGAGAAAGCCACAGATGGTGAGACCCAGCCAAGGGACCAGAGAAGGAAGAGAAGAATGTAGTCACTGGAGTCTCTGAATCTGGGGGCCCTGGAGCCCTGGGCATGATGGAGATGAGCTGCACATCTGTTCAGACAGAGAGCAGAATGCTCAGGCAATGGAATACCCAGGACCTGGATGCAAGAATGCCCACCTCGGCCCCTTCAAGGTTTCTGATTATAGACTTGAGCAGCTACAACTAAGACAATCCAAAGTTTTTCATTCATCTGTCCCATTTAGTAGATAAATACTTGAGTGATAGACATGATGACAGCTAAGAGCTAAGGGAGGAATTAATGGGAAGAGCTGTCACATAGCCACAGACTCACTCTGTTTACCTTCGGCTGCTCCTGGCTACACCTGTGGGATGCAGGCATCTGGGGCAATGGGCATCTCATGTACCTATAGCAGTGCTGATCCTCTCATTTTATCCCTCTCTTATATCAAGGGGACTCATCAGTGTGAGAGCAGCAAGTATCTGGGAGAAGAGCCTTTCCCCCTTACCACTGAGGCTAGGAGCAGAAACACAGTACAGTCTTCTTAAACACTTTTATTCTCATTATGCCAAAGCCAGGACAGAGGGATCCATAAATAAACATCGTGGCTTATTCCTGGCCAGGAACTCTGGGCCCCTCTCTACCTCAGTGACTACATACACATGTAGGCTTATTTCCTAGTCTGTTTCAAAGGCAGTTCTTAATGACTTTGAAGTTACTTAAATGAATAAAAAGTACCAAGGTTTTCTACTTTCATGTTACTGAAAAGCTTAAAAATCCCCAAACTTGGTGTTAAAAGACCAAGCATTGAAAAATTAAAAGGTATCATGAGTGAATTTCTAGGAGATTCTATTTTTTTGAACTTCAATAGTATCTTTTAATCAAAACCTTGATATTTCCCTTCATGTCTGGGAAGACATAAGCACTTTACCTTCTGGATAAAATTGAAAGGAAAAAAAACTTGTGTGGATGCTAACTAATGTTTTGCTAAGCTATCATCTATAGCTGAACAATCTGCTTCCTCAAGTCTAAGTTTGTATCATAAGTTTGTATCATAAGTAAAACTCGATGGTTTTACTAGGTGCGTTCTGAAAGGGAAGTGACTGTCGAGGGTAATCCAGCATCCCTCCTCATGAATTACACTTCTTAGTGAAATCTGTATCTTCATAGTCATATAATTATTTTTAAGGTGTCGCTGGTTGAAAACCATTTGGCTGGACTGGAAGGAAGGGTGCTGGCGGACATGTTTGACTTCCTGTCCAAAGAGCTGGTGAGACTGCAGGAGGAGAGGCGGGTCCATGCCCTGGCCATGCTGGCCGAGCGGCAGCGCCGGATGCGTGAAGCTGAAGAGAGTGGCCGGCGCCAGGTGGAGCAGAGGCGCCTGCAGGAGGAGGACCGGATATTTAAGGAGGCAAGTGGGTACATTGTAAGGAAGCCATTTATAAGGAGCCGAGTCAAACCCAAGGAACCTCCAGATGGGAGATGCTTTCATTTTTTAATTGTCTTCAACAGATAATGTATTGGGGTCCTAGGATATGCTCAGCAGTATGTAAAGGCCTTGTGGAGTACTTTGGAGGGAAATACCAGGCATGGCTCCTTCTCTCCTAGAACTTAAATCCTATATAACATGCAAATAAAGGTAGAATAAGAAAATGTGGTGTTTCCTGAGGGAAACAAATGGGGCCCAGTGACAGATTTTTACAGAGGTCATTAGGGGTACTTGTTGTATGAACAGGTTGAAGGGAGGACAAGGTGGAAATAAGGGACCTGAAAGGAGGCTAATGAACTAACTTCAGCCAGAGTGAGAAATAGGGTGAAATCAAGTATAAAGTCCAGTTTCCAGTGTCAGTGAGTAGGGAGATGATGGTTGTTTTCTGAGGTGGGAAAGCTGAGGGCGGAATAGGTTTGGGGCATATCTTGGTATGGGGATATCTTGGTAGAGGTGTCATTTCAGCAAATGAATATATAAGATGGAATTTAGAAGAGATTTTTTGACTAAAGATACAACGTGGGAGTTAAGAATGCCAGGCTGGTAAATTAGAATTCTGAACAAGACCCAGTGGATGTGAAATTCCAGACTGACCCAGATGCAAGCTCAGAGGAAATTTGAGGAACCAATAATATCTCAAAGCACTCTTGCCCTCATCAAGAATGCAAAAGCTCAAGTGATAAAATTGGAGGAGATTTGTGAGGAAGATTTCTTTAAAGGGAGGTGTGCTGTGACTAATACCCACCCCCTCCACCATATCACACCTAGAGTTTGGGGAGAGTATGTCCCCTTTCTTGGGGAGCTTGATGTGTGTTCTTTTAGTTAGGGTGTCTGATCCCCAGGAATGCAGAGATGGAAGCTGGGCAGGCTGAGGGGTTTGGGCACAGAAGAGGCTGTGTGGGCGGCCAGCACACCCAGAATATGTCAAAGCAAAGACTGTCTACCTTGGGCCAGATGGGAAAGATGGAAAGTGCCAACCTTTTTTAAAAAGTGCCAATTTTTTTTTTTAAATTCCTGTCCAGGAGGCTATCTGAATTGTAAATATGGATACTTTTGAGCTCCTTGGGTGAGAAAAAATAATACTATGTCAACTTGAGGCTTTCTTATTTGATCTGTGATTTTAAGGATTTACCCAATTCCCAGGGAATTAGGATTGATTCATAAATAGTATTTGCTGTTTTTTCTAAACAAAAAATTGATTAAAATTAAAGATTTTCCATCTTCTATACAGCTTAAAAACTTGCAGGTTGTATATTGTCAAATGCAGCTTTTTCATTGAAGTGGAGGATCATCTCTGGTGTCAAACTGCCTATAATAATAATTTGTATTCTAGTTTCCTGTCATCCTAACAGCTTTGATTTAAATAGAATTACTGAGATTTAGCAATTTTTAGCAAACGAGAACTTACTATCCCCTACTGAAAGCACTAAGGAAAAACCAACTGGGATGAGAAGAACCAGTTGGGAGTGAGAATAAAAGGAGAGAGACAAAGGAACCACTATTCTCAGAAATATGAAAAGGAACATACTGGTGAAAGACTTCTAGGAAGGTGTCTTCTAGATAGGAACAGCCCCAGGAAATGTCAGCACGTCTGGGAGGGGCATGAAAGGGTTAAAATGACCCTTCTGGCCTGATTTAACCATCTTTTATGTAAAGAATATGTCCATCTAGGGACGCCCCCGTGCATCATTTCCATTCCCTGTCTTCCATCATATGATCCTTTTATAGATAAATATGCCTGCATGCACATAAATATACCAAAACCCAGAAATGTACACATTAGTAAATTTCCAGGAAAGTAACATACATTGAGAAACATAGTCACAGACTCATATTTAAATACACATACACTTCATGTCCATACATGAAGACACAGTCACAAACATAATCCCTTGTGCACAGTATTAGCAAAGATGTGGAGGACACAGCAACACACATATAGCCACCGAACGTTTCCTTTCCTCACTTATGCACATATAAGCACAAATGTGTCCACAAACTTGCACATTTATAAAGATGTATGTAAACACACAAGTACATATATTGTTAGAAGTAGACCATGTTAAACTTCCCACCTCTGAACAAGACTCAACTGTCTAATTGTTCTGTTCTAGGTGTGAGTTGTCTCTTGAGTAAGATTGTGGTCTCCAGGATAGTAGGCATGTTGTATATTGCTTTGTGCCTTCCACAGCACCAGAGTAGCCCTCTGTACACAACAGGCGTTGAGAAAATATGTGTTGGTTGGTTGGCTGATAGCATATTAAACTGTGGTCATTGGGTCTCTCCCATAAAAGAGGCACAGGAATTCAAGGATATGGACTTGGTATTTCACAGTAAACATTTCATATTCAGAGTCCTGCTACAGTGCCAGTCAAGAAACAGGTACTAAGTTGTTACTGAGTCCCAAGCATTATCTCAGATACAAAGAAATATTTAGACATTAAACAGAAAGTGCTTTTATCCCCGAAAGCTCAAAATCTATCGAGACTACATAGAAAACAAAGTATGACACCCTTGATGTTTGTGATACTTCCTGTGTATCGACCTGTCAAACAGGCAAAACTAAATTGTATTATTTATGACTGAAATCTTAAGGAACAAAACTGTAAAGAAAATGAAGTCTACCATAAACTCATGAGAATGGAAAGGAGCTGTGGTCAGATGGAACCCGCTGTGACCTCTGGGATACTACCAGTGGCTTGACCAGGATTCATTACACTGTACATTTATGTGCTCTGCACTTCTCTAAATGTATATTCTATTTCACAATTTCAGAAAGCCTTAAAAAGAAGCAGTCCAGGACTGATATGATAGTTTAAAAAAATTCATCAGAGATCCAGAATCCTTCTAGATTTCTGCTTTTCTGTCTCTAGGGCGTGACCCTCACGGCAGTTTAAGATGACTGGTGCCTCCTGCATTTTGTCCCCATGAAATGAGAAATGAGAGAAAAAAATAAGCTAGGTCTTTCCCTTTAAGAATCCTTTAAGAGAAAGGAGAGAGAGGATGTTGTGTAAATCTTAGTCTCTGCTACAGTTAGGTAGCTTGACCAAGTCACACTGCTGGTAAGAACAAAGACAGGACCTAAAACAGGGTTCCTGAGTCAAGCCTGTGATCTTTTTGCAGTGTTCTGTATTGCCCACCCCAAATTGAGACCCATAATTCTAAAATGAGCCAAATATGTAGGGTCTGCCCAGAATGGGTAGATACAGGTCGATTAGAAATGGACTACAGTTTTGTTTTTTTTTAAAGGAATGTACAGTGCAGGGACTATTGACTTGATAAATGAAATGGACATGCTAAAAATGTTGGCCAATTTTTGTGCATTTTTCTTGTCTTGCTTATGGTAGTAGCATTCCTTTTCTGAGTAGCTGAAGTATTTGGGGCTTTTGCAGGTGATTAAAGTTCACCAAAGCACTGTAACTTCCTATCTGGAGGACATAATACTGAACACTGAAGAGAATACTGCAGAAGAACAAGCCAGGGCAGAAATAGAGAAGATGGCTGAGGAAATCAATGACATTGCTTATGAAATGGAAAGCCGGTGTGTATCAAGGGGACAGATGGTGGGATGGACAGGCCCTTTGCTGTTACTCATATGTGTTTTTCAAGAGCCTAAGATTTCACCACCAAGGAGAAACAAATAACTAACTCATGCTTCAGTATGCGTTTAGTTTTAACAGCAGCCAGCAGACCTGTACTTTTCTATGGCAGGAGCCGCACATTGGGAATAGAATTTTCAGTTATCCTCTGCAGTCTGGATCACTTTCATATTTCTTACTTTTAGAATATCACAAAGCTTGAAAGCAATGTGAGTATATCCAATTTTACTTGGATATCACCCAAGGTTTTTGGCTTCCATGTGTAAATCGTGTCTCTTAACACTCCTTTCCTGGGAGGCAGGGGAAGTAAAGGACAAATTTGGATTTTCCAAGGAGTTAAGGAAACTCACCAGGAATGTGCTATTTCAGATCACTCAAGGAAAAGGCAGTCGTAGAATCTGAGCAGTGGGGCTCCTTACACATGCAAGGAGGATCCAACTGTAAATCGGCAGCTCAAGCAAGGCAGCAAAGGAAACACTTTTAATATGTTCTTATTTTTTAGTCGAACTCAGCTTCAATCAGAGGAGATTGTGGCCGAGTTGGTTTACAGTTTCCTGATCCCGGAGGTGCAAAAGGACTTTGTCAAAGAAAAGGGTAAGCCAACATAAATGCTTCACTAGATAATCTTTTTAAAGATATAAGCTATTTTCAATATTCCAGAGATTTAAAACTGAGCAGAGGCATGGGGGAAATTCTGAAGAAGAATCAGAGTTATCTTCAAAGTTTGTCAGGTTCTCTTGATGCTGTCCAATGGCAAAATAGAATCACCTCCAGTATGGATGCGTGCAGTTCTAATAAGTTTGATGAAGCATTAAATTCCAAACCTTCTTTAAGATGCAGTTCTCAAGTTCTCAGAGGAGGTGTATTTTGGGTTTTTTGTTTTTGATTTAAATAGTTGATTTATAATATTATGTTAGTTTCAGGTATACAGCAAAATGATTGTTATTTATATATGTATATACACACACACATATCTTCTGATTCTTTCCCATTATAGGTTAACAAGATATTGAATATAGTTCCCTGTGCTATACAGCGAATCCTTGTTTATTTTATATATATTTGTGTGTATATGTTAATCCCATATTCCTAATTTATCCCTCCCCCATCTTGTTCCTCTTTGGTAACCATCAGCTTGTGTTTTGTGATTTGATTTTTTCAACGTGAAACAAATGTTGAGAGTATCAGGGTTTTCCAACTGTAGCTGCCTTTTGGAGGCAGGGCATGTGCAAGTCAGGTGCTGAAAAGCGGGAAGCCTGGCAGACCTAATGCTATTCTGCAGCTCTGCTGAGTCACAATATCTTTTGTTCCTGCCAGGGCTCATCTCAGTATAAATATCCTCACTTCTCTCATTTGCCAAAAGTGGCATGTTTCTAAAGATTGCTGCTTTTATTCAATAGAGGAGGAGAAGAAAAAAAAAATGTGTTTTAAGAAACAATGTTCTTCCAGAGCTTTCAGGGTATAGTGATAGTCCTGGGCCCAGAGGGAGCGGGTGCAACCAGTAGATCAATATTTAAGTGAAATATGAGCCTGGGAGGTTTTAAGAATTTGCAGGAGAATTCTAGACAGATTTAAGAGAAGTGTAGTATTTCACATCATGTAACTAGGGAGTAAGGAATGGTGGAATTCTAATGCATTAGAAGAGAACAAAGAAATACCCTGTTTTCCCATTACATGATTGTACTGTAGTTTTTAAACCAGTACCCCCAGCAATGAGCACTTAGTTTATTCCCGTGTGTTTTCCTGGAAATAGCTGTGAACATCCTGGTCATTCTTCTGAGAGTAAACTTCTAGTAGTACAATGCTGGAAATACAGTATGTGTGTTTTACATTTGATAGATACCACCAAACTACCCCCACAGAAAAACAAGTCATATCCCCATCAGCAGTGTATGATAATGCCTCTACCAAAAAAACTTCAATTTTTAGATCAAATAATAAGTATTCCTGTATCACTTTCTATTATAAAAGGGATCTTAATGTTTTCTAGATCCTTAAGAAAATAAGCAACTCCTTTCTCCTCCTCAATCCAAAGTGAGGCCAGCCTGTTTCATATCAGTTCACCTGAAGAAGGGGAGAAATCCTGTGTTTAACAGTTACTAGTTTGTAAGCCTCTCCTCCAGCTTCTCCTGACTCTGAGAGGAAGGAGCTGAAGGAGTCTTGATCTATAGGAATCAGTGGGAGTCATCTGTGAGCAAATTGAGCAAATCCTATCCTCTTCCCTTTATACGGACATAGCCCAAATGAAGAAAGCCATCTGGATGGGGAGTACACATTGTATTCCTTTCTCTTTCCAAGTAAGTCCATGCATATAAATACTCTTTACTCCAAATTAAGAACTATCACATACAGACCATTTGATATCTCATTACTGATTTATTTGAATGCATTACAAAATTTTTATTGAGGTCTCGTTGACTTATTAGTTTCAACTGTACAACAATGACTTAAAATTCTTATAGATTACATTGTTTAAAGTTATTATAATATATTGGCTATATTCCCAGTGCTATACAATATATCCTTGTAGCTTATTTACTTTATAGATGGTAGTTTGTATCTCTTCATCCCTTATCCCTATCTTGCCTCTCCCAACTTCCCTTTCCTCACTGGTAACCACTTGTTTGTTCTCTGTATCTGTGGCTCTGTTTCTGTTTTGTTAAATTCATTTGTTTGATTTTTTGAGATTCCACATGTAAGTGATAACTACAGTATTTGTCTATTTCATGAAGCACAGTACCTTCCACATCAATCCATGTTGTTGCAAATGGCAAGCTTGTTTTTCTGTTTATGGTTCTGTGGTATTCCATTATATATGTGTGTAAACTCACACATACCCATGTCTTTTTATCCTTTCATCTGTTGATGGACATGTGAGTTGCTTCCGTATCCTGTCTATTGTAAATAATGTGAGGAGCCAGCTCATTGGAAAAGACCCTGATCCTGGGAAGGATTGACGGCAGGAGGAGAAGGGGAGAAAGATGAGGTGGTTAAGAAGCATTCCTCCCTCCGAAGTTTTTTGAAAAGTTTGAGAGTAGGTATTTACCTGTGAAGCCATCTGGTCCAGACTTTTGTTTGTTGGGAATTTTTTTTTTATTACTTATTCAATTTCAGTACTGGTACTTGCTCTTTTAAACTTACTATTTTTCCTGGTTTAGCCTTGTGAGATTCTACATTTCTAGTAATCTGTCCATTACTTCTTGGTTCTTTATTTTGTTGGTATATAGTTGTTCATATTGTTCTCTTATTTCTGTGGTGCTGGTTATAGCTTCTCCTTTTTCATTTCTGATTTTATTTATTTGGTCCCTCTTTTTTTCTTGATGAGTTTCACAAAGGATTTATCAATTTTATCTTTTCAAAGCAATAGCTCTTATTTTCATTGATCTTTTCTACTTTTTAAGAATTAGGCTACATTTCATTTATTTCTTCTCTGATCTTTGATTTCTTTTCTTCTACTGACTTCTGTTAGTTGCTCAGTGTATGATCACGTTCTTGATTTGAGATATTTCTTTCCTGAGGTAGGCTTGTATCACTATAAACTTTCCTCTTAAGAGCTGCTTTTGCGACATCCCAGAGATTTTGGATTGTTGCATGTTTTACTTCATGAGTCTCCATGTATTTTTTAAATTTCTTCTTTGATTTCTTTAGTGATCCATTGGTTGTTAGTGGCATATTGTTTGGCCTCCGCATGTTTTTAGTATTTTCTTGTAGACTAAAAACTAAAAGGAGGCTTTTAATTTCAGAGTTGTACTTATAAAAGATGGTGAGATTTAAGTTTTATTAAATTTATTGAGACTTGTTTTGTGGCCTCAGTTCAGTCACTCAGTCGTGTGTGACTCTTGCAACCCCATGGACTGCAGCACGCCAGGCCTCCCTGTCTGTCACCAACTCCCAGAGTTTACTCAAACTCATGTCCTTTGAGTCAGTGATGCCATCCAGCCATCTCATCCTCTGTTGTTTCCTTCTCCTCCCGCCTTCAATCTTTCCCAGCATCAGGATCTTTTCAAATGAGTCAGTTCTTTGCATCAGGTGGCCAAAGTATTGGAGTTTTAGCTTCAGCATCAGTCCTTCCAATGAATATTCAGGACTGATTTCCTTCAGGATGGACTGGTTGGATCTCCTTGCAGCCCAAAGGACTCTCAATAGTCTTCTCCAACATCACAGTTCAAAAGCATCAATTCTTCAGTGCTCAGCTTTCTTTATAGTCCAACTCTCACATCCATACATGACTACTGGAAAAATCATAGCTTTGACCAGATGGACCTTTGTTGGCAAAGTAATGTCTCTGCTTTTTAATATGTGGTCTAGGTTGGTCATAACTTTCTTCCAAGGAGTAAGCGTCTTTTAATTTCATGGCTGCAGTCACCATCTGCATTGATTTTGGAGCCCCTAAAAATAAAGTCTGTCACTGTTTCCCCATCTATTTGCCATGAAGTGATGGGACCAGATGCCATGATCTTAGTTTTCTGAATGTTGAGTTCCAAGCCACCTTTTTCACTCTTCTCTTTCACTTTCATCAAGAGGCTCTTTAGTTCTTCTTCACTTTCTGCCATAAGGATGGTGTCATCTGCATATCTCAGGTTATTGGTATTTCTCCTGTCAATCTTGATTCCAGCTTGTGTTTCATCCAGTCCAGCATTTCTCATGATGTACTCTGCATAAAAGTTAAATAAGCAGGGTACAGTATACAGCCTTGACATATTCCTTTCCCTATTTGGAACCAATCTGTTGTTCCATGTCCAGTTCTAATGGCTGCTTCTTGATCTGCACACAGATTTCTCAGGAGGCAGGTCATGTGTTCTGGTATTCCCATCTCTTGAAGAATTTTCCAGTTTGTTGTGATCCACACAGTCAAAGGCTTTGGCATAGTCAATAAAGCAGAGATGTTTTTTCTCAACTCTCTTGCTCTTTCAATGATCTAACAGATGTTGGCAATTTGGTTCTTCAGGCACTCTGTCAGATCTAATCCCTTGAATCTTATTTCTCACTTTCACTGTATAGTTGTAAGGGATTTGATTTAGGTCATACCTGAATGGTCTAGTGGTTTTCCCTACTTTCTTCAGTTTAAGTTTGAATTTGGCAATAGGCATCTTGTGGCCTAGCATGTAATTTATCCTGGAGAATGTTCCATGTGCACTTGGAAGGATTGTGTATTCTGCTGCTTTTGGATTACATGTTCTGTATACATATCTAGTAAGTTCATCTGGTCTGGTGTGTCATTTAAGGCCAGTATTTCCTTATTAATTATATATGTGGATGAACTGTTCATTGATGTAAGTGGGGCATTAAAGTGCCTAGTAATGGAAACCTGGATGGAGTCAAACAAAGATTAAAATGTTTTGGGGTTTTGTATAAATATGGAAATTTCTAGATGAAGAGAAGACTATTCTGCAGGAAAGCTGTTTGTATTTCACTGCAGAGAAATTTCTGAATAATTTCATTTCTCAGTGGGGATTTTCATTTTCATTGCCTATGACAGAGGGACCCATATCCTAGGTCTTGCTGTAAGATAAATTCTTTCACACACACACACACACACACACACACACACACCCTAGTATTATGTATTACTGTTGACTTCTCTCTTTATGTCTGTTAATATTTGCCTTGTGAATTTAAGTGCTCCTGTGTTAGGTACATTTATATTTATTTCTTCTTTTTGGACTGATCCCTTGATTTTTATATAATGTCCTTCTTTGGCTCTTATAACAACCTTTGCTTTAATATTTGTTTTGTCTGATATAAGTATTTCACCCCTGCTTTTCTGTTGATTTCTTTCTGCATATAATACCTTTTTCTACCTCTGTGTGCACTTCTAGATGTCAAGTGAGTCTCTTTTTTTAAGATTTATTTTTATTTTCGACTGCACTGGGTCTTCGTTGCTTTGTGTGGGCTTCTCTGTAGTTGCGACGAGGCGGCGCTGCTCTGCTGCAGTGACGGCATCTCTTGTTGCGGAGCATAGGCTCAAGGCAGGCGGGCTTCAGCAGTTGCAGCACGCAGGCTCAATAGCTGTGTGCATAGTAGCTGTGTGCACAGGCTTAGTTTCTCTGAGGCCTGTGGAATCTTCCCAGACCAGGGATCGAACCTGAGTCCCCTGCAGTGGCAGGCGGATTCTTATCCAGTGCACCATCAAGGAAGTCCCAAGTGAGTCTCATAATAGGCAGCATATATATGGTTCTTTTGTATATACATTCAGTCACTGTGTCTTTTGATTGGAGCATTTAGTTCATTTACATTTAAATTAATTATTGTTAGGTAAGGAAGATCCCCTGGAGAAGGGAATGGCAACCCACTCCAGTATTCTTGACTGGAAAATTCCAGAGACAGAGGAACCTGGCAAGCTATAGTCCATGGGGTCACAAAGAGTCGGACACAACTGAGCAACACACAACATACACATACACACACACACATGTTGATAGGTAGGTGTTGCCATTTTGTTCATTGTTTTGGGGTCGTTTTGGTAATTCTTTTGTTTATTTTTGCCTTCTCTTCCCTTTTAATGATTATTTTTAGTGTTATTTGGATTTCTTTCTCTGTTTGTGTGTATCTGTTGTAGATTTTTGGGTTTGGGGTACCATTTGGTTTATATATAGATGTAAACAACTCTATATATGATTAAGAGCTTTATCTCTTAATTTCAAATGCATTTTAACAAGTCTGAATTTGTATTGTCCTCCCTTCATAGTTACTGTTTTTCTCATATTTTGTGTCGAATTGCTTTGTATATCGCTTAGCTGCTTACTGTGGTGATAGGTGATTTTAGTACTTTTGTCTTTTAGCCTTCCTACTAGCTTTCTATGTGGTTGATTTACTACCTTTACTATATATTTACCTTTACCAATGAGCTTTTTTCCCCCATAATTTTCCTGTTTCTAGTTTGACCTTTTCTTTCTCACTTAGAGAAGTCCCTTTAACCTTTCTTGGAAAGCTGCTTTGCTGGTACTGAACTCTTTTAGCTTTTGCCTATCTGTAAAACTTCTGATCTACCAAAACCAAATGAAAGTCTTGCCAGGTAGAATATTCTTGGTTGTAGATTTTCCCTTTCATCACGGTAACTGTATCTTGCCACTGTTTCCTGGCCTGCAGAGTTTCTGCTGAAAAGTCAGCTTGATAGCCTTATGGGAGTTCCCTAGTACATAACTTGTTTCTTTTCCCTTGCTGCTTTTAATAATATCTCTTTATCTTTGATTTTTGCAATTTTAATTACAGTATGTTTTGACACGGTCCTCTTTCAGTGGATCCTGTCTGGGGCTCTCTCTGTGTTTCCTGGACTTGCATGTTTCATTCATTTCACAGGTTAGGGAAGTCTTCAGCTATTATGTCTTCAAATATGTTCTCTGCCACTTTCTCTGTCTTCTCTTTCTGAGACTCCTGTAAGGTAAATGTTAGTGTGTGTGATGTTGTCCCAAAGGTCTTTTATCTTTCATTTCAGTTACTGTATTTTCATCTGTTTAGTTCTTTATATTTTCTAATTCTTGGTTAAAAATGTTTACTGCTCACTCCGTTCATCCATTCTTCTTTAGAGTTCCCTTTTTTGTTGCTATTTTGCCTAATTTTTTTTTATTGAAGTATAGCTGATTCACAATGTTAATTTCTGCAGGACAGCAAAATGATTCAGTTCTATATATATATATACACATATACATCCTCTTTTTACATTCTTTTCTGCTATGGTTTATTACAGGATTGTGAGTATAATTCCCTGTGCTTTACAGTAAGACCTTATTTATTCATTCTGTGTCTGGTGAGTGGGGGCTACATTCTGGGGAGGCTGTCTAGGGGGCCCCAAAGTGTCTCAGAGCTGGTGTTGTCCTGCTGGTTGGTGTGGCTGGCACCCAGTGGGTCCATTCTGTAGTAGGTCCTGGGGGTCCCAGTTCTATATTACCTGTGTCCTGGTATGTAGGGCCAGGTCCTGGGCCCTCTCCATGGGTGACTGTGGGCTTAGGGTATTTTAATGCAACCTGCCCACTGGTAGATGGTGCAGTGTCCCTGCCCACCCACTTGCTTGGCCTGAGGTATTCCATTACTGGTGCCTAGAGGCTGATGGGTGTACCTAGGTTCCAAGGCTAATAAGCTAGAGGGAGGATTACAAAATAGTGCTCACCAGCACTAGTATCCATGTGGCAGAATAAACTCCCCCAAGTGGTTACTGCCAGTGTCTTTGTCCCCAGGGTGAGGTCCAGTTGCCTTCTACGCCCCCAGGAGACTCTCCAAGATTAACGGGTGGGCCAGACCCGTGGTCCTTTCAGATTATTTCTTCTGTCCTGAGTCACACAGTGTGTAAGATCTTGTGCGTGTCCTTTAGGAGTGGAATCTATTTCTCACAGGGTCTGCTGAAAGCAAGCCCTGCTGGTCTTCAAAGCCAAATGTTCCAGTACTGTCTTAACCAGTGCAGGACCCCTGTGCTGTGGAGCCCAGTGTGGGGCTCAAACTCCCCACTCCTTGGGGTGAATCTCTGAAGTTGTAGTAATTTTCCTGTTTGAGGGTTGCCTCCCAGGGGTATAACACAATTCTGCCCACCCTACCTATCTTCTTATGGTTTGTTCTGTATTATCTTTAGATCTTTTCTGGTAGGTTCTGGCCTTTCTCATCCATAGTTTTCTGTAAATAGCTGTAATTTTGCTGTGCCCATGAGAGGAGTTGAGCTCAGAGTCTTCCTAATCCACCAACTCTTATTTTTCTAAAACTTGATAGATGGGAATGACCTTGAAGACCTGTACATAGATGGAAATAATAGTAACAACCAAGGTTTAAATGCATACCAAGTTCCAGAAAATGTATTAAGCATTTTTGAAATACCTTATCTAAATTTCTTATAACATCTATAGATGTGTTCTCATACTTTAGTTAAGGAAATTAGTGCTTAGAGATGCTACGCAGATTGCACCATGGTCTATGTGGCTCCAAAGTTTCCATTCTTTCAACCATACTGCTGTGAAGTGTTCTAAGTTGCTGTGTGATTTACCCTATATAAACTAGCTGACATCTGAACAGCATAAAAGCCATGGTACTTCTTATTGTGCTTTACTAGCTGTATGACTTTTGGCAAATCACCTAATTTCTGTGTCTCAGCTGCCTCATCTGAAAATGGGGATAGTAATAATACTCTTTTAGGGCTGTGAGTAGTTTAAATGAATAATTATATGCCAACTATTTAAAACTGTACCTGGCACAAAGTAAGGACAAAGGCTAACTGCTACCACCATCATCATCACAGTTACCACTTTTCAAAAGGGAAATGGGATGCTTAATGTACTAAGCCTTGATAATAAATATTCTTAGAATGTAGCACTAGGAACAACGTCTAAAGCCATGAACTCAAATTCATCAGTCAACAAGTACCCTTCATATTAGGGACTAAAGCATAAAGAGAAGTATGAGACAAGATCTTTACCTTTAGGTCATTTATAATCTAGGTAAAAAAAAAAACAAAATGTAACTCACCTGAAGCACTTGAACACTGAATAGACTGGTACAAACTCAAGTGTGGTCATGATAAATGTGAGCTGCCTCAGTCAAAGACTTCCTGGAGAGCTGGACTTGGGCTGGGCTTTACAGAAGGGCAGGATCTGGAGTACAGGTATTCCAGGTGAGGGGAGCCGCTCAGCTGTGGAGTGGAGGCAAACCTAGTGGGGAGGAGCGTGACTGGACTGAACAGAGAGTGAGCAGCAATATTGAGATTTAGGTTGAATTACCTTTGGACTGTGTCCTTCCAAAACCGCAGAAAATTTTCTTTGATCCAGTCAGCTTTAAGCAAGAGAATATGTGGTTTGCAAAGTTATCATTTCTGTCTCTATTCTCCTGAAAACCTTTGGGAATGATCTGTTCTGACGTTCAGAGTAACACATCTCCTGTCCCTTCGGCACAGTGAGGAATGCTCAGCGGAAGCATATCCTGGCAGCCCATCAGATCATTCACAGGCACACAGAGGACATGCTCAAGACGCATTTTGTTGAGCAACGGCAGACACCAGACACTGAGCTACTTGAGGGAGAAACTGAAAATGAGCAAAATACCTAAGGTGAGTTTGATTTTTCATTTGGAAGGGAGTTGGAGAACAAGCAGCATCATTGAGCTCTGTGCTGTACTCTAATCATAATGTGGAAAATGAAGCACTCCCATTTAAATTGGTGCATTTCATGCATCTGTTTGACAGGCCTGAAGCAGTTACTGTCTGCCAAGGTTTCCACTACAAATTCAAGAAAAAAGTACCCTCGTGCTTTCTGTCTGTGGCAGCCCAGACTGAATGCGGGAATACAGTGGGGAAAATATTGGTGCATTTCATCTCGGTTATGGAATCTGCTATTGAAACTGTTAGTTGATATGACAGCAGTTAGACTGTTTTGACCAAAAAACAGGACTCAAAATTATTTTTGTAGGCTTTGTTAGCAAATGACTATACTCTATCACAAATAAAGCTACAAAATTATTTGTGTTATTTAAAACAAAAACTTTGTTCTCATGGAATTAGATGAGGTACTCCTGTCGCATTGAGCTGGCTGCTCAGCACGGCATGAGGCACAGCCTGCCCAATTCGAGCCCTGATGCCCTCTACAATAGCCACAAGGCTGGGTCTTAGGTGCACCTAACATTCATACTCACAAGATGAACACAGGCCACGTTTGGTATGATTTGAGTATCAGTCTCCTCAGAAAGCCGTAAGGCCCCCGCAGCTTCCAGCAGCACAGCATCGGGGTCTCTCTTCCTGTGGGAGTTCTTGCTGAATCCACACAGAGGACCATGTATCAAAATCCTGTAGTCCCCAGGTTACAAAGCTCAGGTGCAAGGAAAAGAGCTTCACCTTAGGTAGGTGCAGAAGCTGCCTTGGTTTACATGCCCTGGGACCAGTCTCTCTCATAATAATTCCATTGGCGTAGTTTCCAGGGTCCCCCCAATGAATCTGCCCAGTTACAAAAGTCAGTATGCTCAGGAAACCTCAAAGTTACAGTTTCCTGTTAGGTATTAATAGTTTATTTAAAATCCAGATGCTCGTTACTAATCGGGTCATTTTCACCTTAAGTAATGTTGCTTACATGTGCTCAGTCGCTCAGTGGTGTCCAACTCCTTGTGGCCCCATCGACCATAGCCTGCCAAGTTTCTCTGTCCATGGAATTTTCCAAGCAAGAATACTGGAGTGGGTTGTCATTTCCTCCTCCAGGGGATCTTCCTGACCCAGGGATCGAACCCACATCTCCTATGTCTCCTGCATTGGCAGGCAGATTCTTTACCACTAGCATTACCTGGGAAGCCCAGTGTTGCTTAGTAACATAGTTGACACATATACCACTTTATCAGATTACTGGAGAACAGAGCTAGAGAGTTCAGAGTAAAATTTTCATGAGAAGGGGAACAGAGTGAACCTTTACCTGTAACTTTTCCCTTAACCCTCCATGGTCAGAGGCACACTGCTTGCTGTTTTACCCTCGAGGGTGTGCTATCAGGTTAGGGAAGGCACTAAGGCTTAGGGGGTAGTCTGAACCTGGCATCGAGGAGGTTTGGGTGTTGGCAGCCTACCACTAACTGTGTAATCTCACACAAATATGTGACCAAGAGGCCCTCTGCAGGAAAATCTATTGGGACCTTAAATCTCAAAGAGGCTGATAGTAGGAAGATTGAGATGAGGGAGCAGTTAAGAAAGACCAGAGAGAAAACAGATAAAGAATTCTTAAATACCAAACTATGGCTGTAGATTACAGCAGAAAATCCTTTGTTTTTCATTAATAATGATATAACCTCAAAATCACTGAAAATATAAACCATATATTTACATGTAATGTTATATCTATATAATAGCTATATATAAATTCAAGAATCAAAGCATTTTGCCTAACTTATTATTGTGTTAAAAATCAGCCTTAGAAGCACAGTTCCTCCACTGGGTCCCTTGGATCTCTCCCTATCCAGCTGATGTTTGAGAGTGAGTGAAAGAATCTGAGCACACACTGGGAAGAACTCAGCTGTAAGGCACTGCCAGCCAGTGCTCCAGGTGGATGAAGGACTGAGTGCTTTCATCTTGAAACAGTGATCTGGGCAGCATATCACAGCATCCTGTGGACGTATAAAGACTCAGCTTTCTGGTGGAAGATAGGAGATGGTGAAAGGGAAAGTTGCTCAGTCGTGTCCGACTCTTTGCGAGTCCATGGACTATACAGTCCATGGAATTCTCCAGGGAGGTGATGAGGGCCGACTTAAGGCAATAATATAAATTATAACAGTGAGCCGAGACATACCACTGAGACAGGATGGTGGAGTAGGACATGAGTTTACCTCTTCTTATGGAAACATCAAAATCACAACTAACTGCTGAAAAACCATCGACAGAAAAATGTTGGAACCTATCAAAGATACTCTGCATCCAAAGAAGAAGCCACAATGAGATGACTAGAGGGGCGCAATACAATCAAATCCCATACATGCCAGGTGGGTGACCCAGTAACTGGTAAATTTTACTATAGAAGCTCTCCTACATGAGTGAAAGATCTGAGCTCTATGTCAGGCTCCTTACCTTGGGGTCTGGCAGTGGGAGGAGGAGCCCCCGAAAATCTAGCTTCAAAGGCCAGCAAGGTTTGATCAGAGAAATTCCACAGGACTGGGGAAACAGAAACTGTGTGTGTGGAGGGTGCACTCAGGGTCTCATGACTCATAGTGACCCAAGGGAAAAGTGGTAACCAATAAGAGACTGGGCCAGACTTATCTGCTGGTACTGGAAGGTCTCCTGCAGAGGCGGGAAGCAACTGTGGCACATTGTGGGGACAAGAACACTGGCAGCAGTAGTTCTGGGGAGTTCTCATTGGTGTGAACCTCCTAGAGGCTGCCATTCTCTCATTGAGACCTGGCCCCACCCCACAGTCTGTAGGTTTCAGTGTGGGTGCCTTGGGCCAAACAGCCAACAGGTCAGGAACAAAGCCCTACCCATCAGTAGACATGCTACATGTAAAAGGATGCAATTAGAACACTCTTAACACCATACACAAAAATAAACTCGAAATAAATTAAAGCTCTAAATGTAAAGCCAGACACTATAAAACTCTTAGAGGAAACAAAGAATACTCTTTGGCATAAATTGCAGCAAGATCTTTTTTGACCCACCACCTAGAGTAATGAAAATAAAAATAAACTAATGAAACCTAATTAAAAGCTTTTGCACAGCAAAGAAAACCATAAATGAGACAGAAAGACAACCCTTAGAATGGAAGAAAATATTTGCAAATGAAGTGAGTGACAAGAGATTTACCTTCAAAATATACAAAGAGTTCACGCAGCTCAGTATCAAAAGCACAAACAACCCAATCAAAAAAAAAAAAAAGGGAAGAAGGCCTAAATAGACATTTCTCCAAAGAAGATATATAGATGGCCAGTGGCCAAGAGGCACATGAAAAGATGCTTATTACTAGTTATTAGAAAAATGCAAATCAAAACTACAATGAGATTATCACCTCACACTAATCACAATGGCAATCAAGGAGTCTACAAACAGTAAATGCTGGAGAGGGTGTGAGGAAAAGGGAACCCTGCTACACTGTTGGTAGGAATGTCAACTGGTACAGCCACTATAGAAAACAGTATGGAAGTTCCTTAAAAAACTAAACATAGAACTACTCTGTGATCCAGCAATTCCACTCCTGGGTATACATCCAGAGAAAACCATGGTTCAAAAGGGTACATTCACCAATGTTCATTAAAACACTGTTTACAGTAATCAAGGCATGGAAGCAACCTAAATGTCCATTGACAAATGAGTGGATAAAGATGTGGTACATGTATGTGGTGGAATATTACTCAGCCATAAAAAGGAATGAAATAATGCCATTTGCAGCAGCATATCATATTAAGAGATTATCATATCAAGGAAAGTAAGTCAGATAGACAAATTATCATGGTGTCACTTACATATGGAATCTTTTAAAAATGATAGAATTAAACTTATCTACAAAACTGAAATAGACTCACAGACTTAGAGAAAAAAATCATGGTTACCAGGGAGGAAGGCTGGGAGGGATAGATTAGGAGTTTGGGACTGACATGTACACATTGCTGTATTTGAAATAAAATGCCTTTCCCTGAAAAAAAAAAAATGTATCAGGAGAAACAAAAGTATGGTACTGGCAAAAAAAAAAAGAAACATAGGTCAGTGGAACTAGATAAAAAGCCCAGAATAAACCTGCACCTGTGGTCAGTTAATCTACAGCAAAGGAGGCAAGAATATACAATGGAGAAAAAAACAGTCTCTTCATTAAGTAGTGTTTACTGAACTGGACAGCTACATGTAAAAAATGAAATTAGAGTATTCTTTAACACTATACACAAAAGTAAATTCAGAATATGCTAAAGACCTAAATGTAAGGTCAGATACTATAAAACTCAGAGGAAAACACAGGCAGAATAGTCGGACATAAATCAGAGCAATAACTTTTTCAGTCCATTTCGAAGAGTAAAGGAAATAAAAACAAAAATGGATAAATGGGAAATTAAACTCAAAGGCTTTTGCACAGCAAAGGAAACCATAAACAAAACAAAAAGACAACCCACAGAATAGGAGAAAATATTTGCAAGCACTGTGACCAAAAAGGGATGTTTCCAGAATTTACAACCAGCTCATGAAGCTCAATATCAAAAAACTCAAACAACTCAAATAAAAAAATAAGTTATGCTTATCAGTGAGGAATGGTGGGGGGGAGGGATAAATTGGGAGTTTGAGATTGACATATATATATACACACTGCTGTATTAAAATAGGTAACCAACAAAGACCTATTGTATAGCACAGGGAATCTGCTCAATATTTGTAAAAACCTACGTGGGAAAAGAATCTGAGAAAGAATAGATACACAGGTATGTATAACTCAGTCACTTTGCTGTACACGTGAAATGTACACAACATTGTTAAGCAACTATACTCCAATATAAAATAAACAAATTTAAGTAGTAAATCAGCCTTACTGTTAGTCACTATTTCTACATGCAAATTTAATAAGATTAATAATTATTCTCATAGTAGGTGGCTGAAAAGCTGAGCAGTGCTTTCATAAGCTTTATAAGACCAGAGGGACAAAAACTGGAGTCAAGGTTGAGACCCTGGTGAACATCCTCCATTTAGGCTGGGACTCCACAAGGCTGTGCCCTAGTAGAAAGTGTTCATTAGAAGTAACCATCCTTGAATAGACTACAATTTAGCTTCTAATCACCCGAATGATCCCCAAAACCTTCAGTTGCACAAAGTGAATTTAAAAGATCCTTGATTCCTGTTGCCTCAAAGAAATTGTCAGAAACAAAACTTAAATTCTCTTTGGAGAAAGTTGGCATCATCCTAGACCTCAATTTATTTTCAGAATTTTTCATGAACAAGTTCCAGACACAAGGATATACAGGTACATGACAACTTGAACAAGTAGCAGAAAGTACAGATAATAGAAACAAACCTAAAGGGATCTAAAATTGGAATTATTAGACACAGACTGTAGAATAACTGTGCTTACTGCTATACACTTCTAGCCTCCAGAATTGTGAGAAAATGCATTTTTTGTTGTTTAAACCACCCAGTGCATGGTATTTTGTTATGGCAGTCCAAGCCAAGACAGATTTTGGTACCAAGAGTGAAGCTGCTGTAACAATACCTAAATGTGTGGAAGCAACTTTGGAACTAGATAGTGTGTAGAGATGGGAAGATTTTTGAAGTGTATGTTGGGAATGTGGATGTTAAGGGAAATTCTGGCGAGGTCTTAGATGGCAATGTGGAATGTGTTACTGGAAACTGGAGGAAAGGCAATCCATATTATACAGTGGCAAAGAACTTGGTGTTCTAGTGTTTTGTGGAAGATAAAACTTCTAAGCAATGAAACTGGATATTTAGCTGAGAAGATGTCTATGCAAAGTGTTGAAGGAGCAATTTGGCTCCTTCTGACTGCTTTTATGGTAAAATATGAAAGGAGAGAGAGAAACTGGAGAAGGAATTGTTAAGCAAAAAAACAAGGATTTGTAGATTTGGAAAATTCTCAGCCTAGCCATATTTCAAAAAGTGAGAAAGTCCATTCTGAAAAAGAATTCTAAGGGTGTAGCTGAACAACTATATAATAAAGAGTCTATGGAATTTTAAGAGTAGGAACACTGCCAGTTTGAAATGAAGGAATGGATACACTATGAAATGAAGGAAGGCTGTCAGACTTGTTAGGTTTGACAGGGTTATACAATAGAGCCATTATGCTGCAAATGTGCACCATTGTTTAAGAAGAATGAAAACTAATACAGAAAGTGATTCAGAGCTTTTCAACCACCGCTTCAGTTTCAACAGGTCAGATGGCCTCTGCCCAGAACTGAAGGGCAGGACTGCCTATGGCACCCTACCTGGATCCCCAAAGTGGCCATGGAGATGGGGGACAGCAGAGCTGGAGGGGTGGGGCCACTCCCAGAGCCATGGAGTAATGCTGCCCTCCTAGTGGACCTAGAAGGCAGAACATTGCACCAAAGGGAATTAAGCTCAAGCTTTAAGATCCAATAGAATTTGTCTAGCTAGGCCTTGGATTTGCTTGGGACCCATTACTCCTTTCTTCCTTCTGATTTCTCCTTTTTGGAATGGGAATATCTTTCCTATGCCTGTCCCATAATGTATTTGGTTCACAGCTGGAGAGGAATATTGCCTCTGGGAAGAATCATACCTTTGAGTCTCACCCATTTCTGATTTAGATGAGAATTTGGATTTCAGACCTTAGAATTGGTGCCTGAATGAGTTAAGACTTTAGGGGCTATTGAGATGGAACAAATGTATCCTGCATGTGAAAAGAACATGATTTCAGGAGGCTTTGGTGGAATGCAATACAGTGAACTGTGTCCTCCCAAAATTCGTATGTTGAAGCCCTAACCTCCTATATGATGTCATTTGGAAATGAGGACTGTGAGATATAATTAGATGGGACATAGCAAGAAGAAAGCCATCTACAAGCCTTGAAGAGAGTCCTCTCCAGAAACTGATCATACTGGCACCTGATCTTGGACTTCAACCCTCCAGAACTGTGAGAAAATAAAAATCTAATAACTAAAACAATCTTGAGAAGAATAAAGCTGGAGGTATCATACACCCTGATTTCAAACTATACTACAAGGCTACAGTAATTAAAACTGTATAGTACTGGCATAAAAATGGACAAATAGATCAATGGAAAAGAACAGAGAGCCCAGTAAATCTACACTTATATGGGCAATTAATCTACAACAAAGGAGGCAAGACTATACAATGGAGAAAACGCAGCTTTTTCAATTAACGGTGTTGGGGAAGCAAGACAGCTACACACGGAAAAGAAACTGGGCTACTTCCTCACACCATGAACAAAAATAAATATAAGACCTGAAACCATAAAACTTTTAGAAGAAAACATAAGCAGGATGCTCTTTGGCACTGACCTTCATTTTATATATATATATAAAGA